GGCTGTGATAGGCAGTAAACGTAGCTGCTATCTGTAGTACAGACCATGAGTTGACAACTTTGATCGTTTGAACTGGTGTGTTGCGGGAGTTGAAGAATCTCGGGGAGCCTGCCCGCGATTCGCTTACCTCCGTGTGCTTAAGCCGACGAAAGGTGGGAGAGGACACTTACGCGGTGCCATCGTGTCTCCTTCCGCCCTCTGTCGGATAAATTATTGGTACACAGAAGGTTCCAGTGTTGAACATCTCATTCCGGTTTGACGAACCAACTTTTGCATTTAACTGATGAACAGAATGTAACAATGGTATTTCAAGGTGCAAATTGTGTATGATTTCGCTGAAAAACCAGTGGTATCGGTGTGCAGTTACAATGTCATCAGGAAGTCTTATGCTGAAGGTAAACCGATTCAATGCCCTTCGCTGAGCATTCAAACAAGTTCATCTGCGAACTGATTACCGTACTTCACACTCAACACAATTGCTGATTACTGTTCCACAGTTCCAAAGTAACCGAGAATAACGAATCGAAACTGACTTTTAACAGTCACCGTAACAATTGCTCTGGAGTGGATATAGAATGAAAGTTCGATCAAATGAAGTTGAACTATCTAATAGGGTATCAACAATGGATTAATCTCCAGAATTGATGAAGACTCGAGGATTCTCTTTGGATCTTCTCAACTATTTGATGTACGCTTATTCACCGCTGGTCGATTACGCACAAAGAATTCAGAAAGAGGAAATGACTTATGGTCAACAACTGCTTGACGAATACGTCAAATACCATCCAAATTTCACGATAAGATCGTTCGTCGAAAACGCCAGGTTTGTCGTTTCAATGCATTGATGTGCACACAGCAAACAACCAAAAAAAATGAACTCTTCTTTGATCAGAATGATCACATCGCTAGCTGTATAACGAAGAGTGCATGAGTTTGCATGTGCAGTATAAATTCTGTTTCACTTCGGATGTCTTTTAACTGAGAAATGGAATTATTGTTGTAAACTATTCGGATTTCTTATCTGATTCATCTGCAACGATTCAATGGCACAAAAAATTTCAGCCAGCGTTGTGAGGATTACATTCTGAAATGTTTATATCAAGGAACACAGTTCGACTGCTGTGATCCTAACTATACAACTCCGATTATGACAGATTTGGGACGTTGCTATCAAACTGATCTCGAGAAATTGCATCGTGACATTAATCTCTCGTACAAATTCGGTGCTGCTCAAGGGTCCGTTTCTTTGGTCATTTCAGTCAAATTTGATACTTCCTTACGTCCGTCCTCAAGTTTCCACACGAAAATTTGTGATTGGATCAATTCTCTGAATGTGATCAACTTAAGCAAGTTAAAGTTGATGGCATTGTAAATATCTGCTTATTATAGGCTACAAATGATGCTCGATTACCGAACAGACGAAGAACTACCCTTATATAACGCATCAGGTAATTCAAAATGGATATTTGCTCCTGTTTCTTCCATGTGAAATAAGTTCTGTTCTCTTTCTTAAGTCAGTGTCGAATTACTTCTGTTATAGGCGTAAGGATAAGACGGCCGTTTCTGAACACGTTTGAAGATGGTTTTCGAATTCATGTGCACAACCGAATGACTGTTTCGTTCCTGAGCTCTGAAATTATCTCTGTTTCACCGAACAACAAAATCGCTATTGCGTTAAGACCCACAAAGGTGCTTCGCATTCAATTTGTAGTCATTATAATCACCTGATCTGTAAAGTTGACACCTCGAGAGAATTTCGGCCTGGAATATATACACCTCTTTCTAGAAGGCTGATATCTGTTATGAAAATGCTGGTTATTTACTTATATTACCGGGGTTCCCGTGCTCACTGGCTTTCATCAGAGAGCACTCTCGAAGAGTTTTTTTGACTTATGCGAGCGTTTTACCACATAGCTGTACAAATGAGACAAATTTCAACATTTACTCGTCGAACGTTGATAATTTACGTTGAATTTCAGTACGAATTCTTAGAACGTTCAATTGGCGGTGCGTGTCGGAGAACGTGGCCAGTTGGTTACCCAAAGTATCAAATCGGATATTCAGAAACACTCTGTCATGCGAGATGCATAGTGCATAAGTATGTGAATTCGTGTGGTTGTGCACCGTTGCGATACGATATCTTAAAAGGTGAATGAACTCAGTGAATTGAGTAATTATTATCTTCTGAAAATTTCTGCTCTCATCCGTTTCATCCAGTTCCATCCAATTCAGCATGTGCGTATTTCAGATCAAAACACCTGCACACCCAAACAACTACATGATTGCATTGGTGAAAAATTCGCTATAGTAGGTAACTATCTTAATCGTGATATTTAATCTATCACGCTCATGTTTATGCTTTTGATTGTGCCTATGTTACACATGATCATGAGCACGTTTCGAGCATCTCTAGCGGAGTGTTCCATCTATGAAGAGCATAATAAAACAACTTGAAAGCAGCTCACGGGGACGCCTTCATCTCCTATTTTCTGAGTATCATTAGCTCGTCCGAGCCTAACACGGTTTTCACTCGTTTTAACAGGGTTTTCATTCTTTTCCTGGATGTTCCAATTGCTCTCATAGCTTTTATCACCAAAATTGTTCTCTTTTGCTAATTTCTCATTCATTTCGCTCAACAATTAAAGTCACTTTCTCATTCTATATGAAATACACTCTATAATTGATCGGTTGACTGTCGAACGTTGGTGAGCAATAATATTCGACTGTTGTATTGTTGATTTCGGTTGTCAACACTCGTCAACGCATCCAGTAAATAGTATATGCTACAGAATGAGAAATTGATTCGAACTGTGAAGTGAAATGAAACGAAGTGAATGAGAAAAGCGCATCAAGAGAACGATATTCGCATGAAATAGCTATGAGAGTGAATACAACACGTCTGGAAAGAATGAGAATACATCTACATCAGTTTGAAGTGAGCGTNTATCAGTTATCAGTTAGACAATAGCTTTTCATGCAATCATATTCGATTGCAGTACTAAGGAATACAGCGGTCTAGGAAAAGACCCAGCGATTTCGATTACCATTATGTACGAGCTAATAAGATTGAACGTAACGGTCATCTAAACACAACATGTGCGATTTCCATATTTAAGGGGTGGGGGGGAGGAGGAACGGCGGCCTGCCAAATCATCAAAAGGGGTAATGGAGTAGATTCTTAGCATTTTTGATGCAGCACTGAATGATACTGATTGCAGCTTCAACCGGTGGTCGTGATTTAATGCCGAATTGCGCGGAATGCGCACCACAGTGCCAGAATTTTGTCTATTATTCGTATTGCTCTTACGCGAAAGACATTCTACCAGCAACAGTTGAATACTTAGGACAACTTGGTTCACGGTTCACACCTGAATATGTCAGGTAAAAATTGTTGAAACCCTTCATTCATGTACGATTGCCCCAACAATGAAGACAGCACTCCTTTTGAGTTATTAACATTTAAATGTTTTAAGTTTATATGACTAATATTCAGTGATTAAAACAGGCAAAATATGGTCGGCATGGCTGTCTTCTTCGAGTCCAAAAAATTCGTGATCTACTCGCAATCAAGGCTCTCTGATCTCACCAATGTCTTAAGTAAGCCAACTATCTTCATGCGTAATTGATCTAGTTATCCACAGCACATTTCTGCCCAGTGGGACAAATATAGAATGGATAAGACTGTCTTCAAGACGAATACGAGAAATCAGAACTTTAAGGGATTGACAGAGCAATTAACCATTGCCCATTTCAACTGTCCAATAGTGATGTGGAGTGCCTTTGTTAACTACTAAAGGCTTAGCACTGAAATGAACGTGCAAAGTTTTTGTTGTTTGCTGCACAGAGTTCATCACTGCAGGTAACATTGGAGGGAATATGGGTTTATTCCACGGAGCGAGTGTTATTTCACTGTTCGAGTTGGCTTTAGTAGCAGTTAAAGTTGTTTGGTCGTTATTTTCGAAGAAACGACAAAATTATGTGCAATCGAAACACATGAAAGAGGTCAGCAACTCTTGTCAGTTCTTCTTCACTACCCGTGACAGTAACGCGACCACTCGCATGTCATAAATTGCATTAAAATCGAGTTTCTTCAAACGATTTTCACCTCGGCAACATATTTATAACTTTCTTCACGCAGCACCAACGAGATCTGAAGTGCACAATGCAAGAGTATTTAAGGATTCACGAAAGAAGCGATTAGAGGAGATCCTCACCGAGATGAATCTATATAGACCTGAACCTGCGCCGTCATCGGAAACCAGTGAGGTAAGTGCGAATCGCATGTCGAATCTCATTTGTGATAATTTCGAGCGGTGAATTTCGATGATATTTACGCATATTCATCAAAAAGTCTTTTTTTTTTCAGGAAAGCCGAAGTAGTGATCAAGATTCAAGTGATAGGCGAACGAGTCTTGCGACGATCCGTGAAGAGGACGAGGAAGGTGATCACATTGTCGAGTTGTCAGCAGAAGATCTCAACATAAAAATGGTTTGTTCGTTACCGTCTCCTAAATACGTCTGAATTTTAGCTGTTTTCGAGTCACTATTTGGTGGTGTCGGTCGTTTTTCAAGTGAATCGTTTCGACGCAAGCGTGATCCGATCGCTCCATGGAGGCCACATAAGGAGCTTCTTCATTTGGTGTAAGCACAATGGCAATGCAAAAAATCCTTTGATGTTCCAAAGCAGTCAGCCATCAAAATTTCATTCATTTCTCGATATCACTTGATTGTTCAGTGTTTGTTCGTTGCTTGACAGCAATGTTTTGTTGACAGGTGAAGAATGAACGCAAACGTGGTACAGTATCACTATACATAACCTCGTCGCTTGCTGAAGCGTTGCTCGATCGAGATATCGCGTTTGCTAAAACTATACGAGTCGGTTTCATGAATAATAAGGTACATAGTCACTTCTCTTTTCCAACATATCTACGCATTATATTTCGAATGGAACGCTCCAAAAAAAACTTAGCTTTCCCATACAATTTGTTCATGTGTAAAAGTGACGTAGAATGAAGCTCT